CATAGAGGTAACTCTAAGACTAGAATAGAAGGTCCCGAAATAACGTGCTCAACGTTTTGGCTCAGCTCTGGTACTCTCTTCGGTCCTAAGCTAATCGATTTACCCCTCGAAAAATAGGAAAATCCACGAACCCCTCATTTTATCTGTCAAACTTTCATAGCGAATCAAAACAAACATTGCGTAGTACTAGAATTTCGACTAGAATGGGGTACGTTAATCGTTTGCTTGGGACCAATAGGCTAGTTAAGTAGTGAGCCAATTTCAAATCGATAGTTTCGTATTGATTGTTGGTGCTTCTCTATGGCAAACCAACTTTTTGTTTCACCATGTGTGGATGTCAAACAACAGGCAAGAATGCCATATGAAAAGAGCGATTTTATGATTTTCGTGGTGAATTGAGGTAGCTCTAAGACCAGAAGGCCCCGAAGAAACGTGCTCAACTTTTTGGCTCAGCTCTGGTACTCTCTTCGGTCCCAAGCTAATCGATGCACCCCTCGAAACATAGGAAAATGCACGAACTCCTCATCGTATCTGTCAAACTTTCATTGCGAATCAAAACAATCAAAGTGCAGTACTAGAATTTCGACTAGAATGGGATACGTTGATCGATTTTCTTGGGACCAATAGGATAGTCAAGTAGTGAGCCAATTAAAAATCGTTAGTTTCCACCGGTTGGTTGTACTAACGTTACCTCTAGGGTTGTACATTGTACAACCAACAATCAATACGAAACTAACGATTTTAAATTGGCTCACCACTTTAGTAGCCTATTGGTCCCAAGCAAACGATTAACGTATCCTATTCTAGTTGAAATTCTATTACTACACTATGTTGATTCGCTATGAAAGTTTGACAGGTAACATCAGGGGTGTGTGGATTCATGCAGAACATGCAGGGGTGAGTGAAATAGCTTGGGACTGCTTGGGACCGTTGTTCTGGTACTGAGTGAGCCAAAAATAATAATGATTTTCTTCGGGACCCAGTGGTCTTAGAGTTACCTCTATGGTACAACCATAGAGGTAACTCTAAGACTAGAAGGTCCCGTAAAAACGTGCTCAACTTTTTGGCACAGCTCTGGTACTCTCTTCGGTCCCAAGCTAATCGATTCACCCCTCGAAACATAGGAAAAACCAAAACCCCTCATTTTATCTGTCAAACTTTCATAGCGAATCAAAACAAACATTGCGTAGTACTAGAATTTCGACTAGAATAGGGTACGTTATTCGTTTGCTTGGGACCAATAGGCTACTAAAGTGGTGAGCCAATTTAAAATCGTTAGTTTCGTATTGATTGTTGGTACAACGGTCTGCTTTGGTTGTCTGTCAACGGTATTATGGAGCTTTTTTAAAATTGTTGAGTTCATAACATTGATTTGTATGTATTTTACAGTTCTGCTCAAAGACATACACTGACAAAAGTTTTCATATAGTTTCTATTAGGAACGCACATAATATTTTTTCCAATAACAAAATCAATGATTTTTTATCTGAATATTGCATAACGTAATAAATTCTATGTGAATAATCATATCGACAGTGAGCATGCATAAGGGCCTATACGCGATGATCGATTCTCTTCATCGATTTTCTCTTTGCATTGCTACAGCTAACCGCAACAATTTTGTAGAATTTATTCAATGTAGAGTTGTAACAGGTTGCATTGGCTATCAAAATCAACAGCAAGAGTTATTAACAAAAGAGAAAATCGATGAAGAGAATCGATCATCGCGTATACGCCCTTATGAATGCTCACTGTCGATATAGATTTCATTGGACACATAAGGTTCATGTGATTTAGTGGTGTCCAATTATGGGATCACATGAAAGCTATGTGAAATTCATATGGATATTTTTATGTGATTTATTTTATGAGTGTACCAGACTACACATAAGAAAAGTTTCATAAACTGATTAGGGGCTGTTCATAAACTACGTAGATAGTTTAGGGGGGGGGGGGGTTGGCAATCATCCACGGCCCTAACAAATTTAAAATTGTTTGTATGGACAATTGGCTACGCAGGGGGAGGGGGAATCAAGAATCTGTCTACGTAGTTAATGAACAGTCCCTTATGAATTGTACATAGTAAAGAGTCTAAATTTATAAAGAGGCGACATGTCAAAATTGGAACAATCGATTGTCTGTCAAAGTCATAGGAAATGTCATTCCAATCGAGCAGAAGACCTGTCAAATGGATAAGATGTCGTCTCTTTATAAATTCAGGCTCTTTAGTACATAGGACTGAAAATAAAAACGGCATTTTTCGCTGGCATCACTGGACTTCCATCGTTAATGTTACTTTTGACGTCGGACGTCACGTGTACCACACACGCCGGTTTGGTGGGCATTAAGATGAATTTAAAACTTGCATTTTATTTACTGTACATAATTTCCGCATTCGCCCTATTCTGATAACACTTCTAAAACTTGTGATTTTGATAGAACCACCAGCACCAAATTGTCGGGGTACACTGGCAATATACTGGAGTTGTCCCCGGGTTGGTAAACAATGGCTTCAAATGCCGATTCCTTCAAATTTTAAGCTCCCACTAGCCAACTAACAACACACTCAGGTAGGAAAATGATTCCTCTCCCAGTTGATATAGTTGTAATTGATCTTTTATTAGCGATTGAAGTCAATGTTACATTTTCGTTATCATTGAAGTTTTTCCCAAATTATCTCAAATCACTCCGAAAGTATATTCTATAAGGAGCTGTTCATAAACTACGTAGACAATTTAGGGGGGGAGGGGGTTGGCAGTTGTCCACAATCCATACAATTTTTTTTTTTAATTATATGGACAATTGTCTACACAGGGGGCGGTGGGGGGTCAAGAATCCTAAAAAACTGTCTACGTAGTTAATGAACAGCCCCTAAGCTATTTTTTTTAGCTTCAATCCATTTGCGTGACTTTTAAACCTTTACAATGTTTTGCATAGGCCCAGATTTTGGGGTTATGAATAAAACTGGAGGGTGAATTGCAAATACTGTTTTTTTTCAAGGAGCAAATAGCAAAAACAAAATGAATTTTTGACTTAATCTTCTCCGATTTGTATGAAACTTTGCATATTTGTTTGTTATAGGCAATCATTCACATTTGTGCTAAAATCCGACCATTTTGGATCTTGCAATTCTTTTCAAAATGGCGTATTTGACATTTTTTGATACAATCGTAGCATGAAGACGTCACTTCCAATCGAAATGAAGTCTGAGACAAAGTTGTAGTCTTTCAAGAATAAAATGAACACGGTAAATTGTTATAGTAAGTTTAAATGAAATCTCAAATACCTCAAAATATCCACGACCAATATTTGTAATTTTTTTTTAATAAGAATGATTGCCCATAGCAAACAATTATGCAAATCGAAGAATGTCGAGTTTGCTCGATTCGTCATTTGGCGTGCAACTGCTTCCCCAAGTCAAGGGGGTCCAACAGTTTAGGAAAATAAATGCAGTTTTTTCGTCAACTAAAAAGCATATTAATTATCTAAAAGTTTCAGCGATGCATTGTTATGTTCCGTGGTACTTTCCAAAACTCTACTCGATGTTCCGTTTCCGTTGTATTGCATGGTAGCTTTTGTCAAATATCGGCTCCCAGCGCACGCTTGAATTTTGTATAAGGACCCTAAATTGCACTTACGTATACGATGCACAACACAGACCGCCCAGAAGGACAAAAAACATTTGTGTGTAGCTTTGAGAAAGATTGTATTTTATAATTAAGGGAAAGTGTTTAGCGAAATGCTTTTTTTTTTTTGTTTGTAAGGATCCTAGAAGACAGTTGCATTTTGATTTTCATTCGTGTGTATGTAACAGGAGCAGAACATGATTGATTGAGATTTCGCTCGGTTTTCAGCGATTTTTATTTGCTTTCTGTCTTTTGTCTTTTGAAACACTGCAAGAGAAACAACACCAATTTGAGTAGCAATATATAGTATTCACAGTAGGGGGAAAAATACACACTAGAAAGTACACAGCTTTGACATCAACACTGAAAAGAAGAATTTTGTTTTGAGGGGGGTGGGGGGGTGGAAAAGAGGCACGTGTGCGGATGTTTGTAAAATTGTAGTCTGTAGTTGTGAAACAGTAGGAGGGGAACAGGAACCTTTTGCTTCTTCAATTGATTCGGTGGAGTGCTTTCTCCTACTCGCAAAAAGGTGTACTGTTCTCCTCGCTTCTGATGGCCCGTCACAGTCAGTGGATAACGCGTGTTCAAGTGGCAGCGGATTGGCCGCTGATCCGCTGACTGTTGGCCATATATTTGCATCCATGTGGGTGAAGTTGTTGTGTACAGGTGTGTAGGGATGTATGTTCTGTTTGTGTGTGTACCTCATGTCGCCGTATCCAACTGTGGTCATTGTGACGACAGCCCACCAAAAGGCATCCGGGATTGACTTGAAATAGGACATTTCGGCGCCAGCCTCCGCAAAGTATACGGCCGATGAGAAGAGGACGACACCTTGAGAGACACAAAAAATATATTTATGGGCAATGCGGGGCATTTTTCTAAACTAAAGGGTAGTCGGAACAATAGTAGATGATGGTGTGAAGAAAGAAACCAAAGCATTTGTTTTAAATGGATTTTCGTTGCCAAATTTCGTTGCCAAATTGGAAATGTCCTTCGGTGTCGTAGTGGCGTAGGCATTGCGACCAGCCTACTAGGATTGCGCGTCGCTTGCAATTTCTTTTGCCAAATTGGAAATAACCATGCTCTGCTGCTTCCGGCCTGCTGTGATTGCTGAGAAGAGATCTATTTACACTGGACTCGGCCAGATGACTGGCTTGATTTACGGTGGAAAACCCATTAAGAGAGATAGAGGCGATAACAAAAGCAAAGTTTTCCGTCCGCCCAAAACCGACCGTACATATAGAATGTATTAAAAAGATACTAGGTACTTTTGATCCACAAAATAAAAAACTCTCGGAAGCCCGGGAGTCGCTTTTTTGATACGACACACTTGTTTCCATTTGCACACTACAGCCGAACTGCGGTGGTACTTACCTATGAACAGGAAAAATATTAGTAAACCTAACTCTCGCATAGATGCTTTCAGCGTTCGTCCTAGAATTTGTAATCCTTTCGAATGCCTAGATAATTTAAATATTCGAAACACTCGCACTAAACGTATCACCCGCAATATTGCTAAGGACATAGCCTGATTCGTTGACTTGTCCTGTTGTGAAGAAAGTGAAAGTTGAGAATTAGACACCACTTGAGATCCTTGTTTGGCGCTGACGAACTTACCTGAGGACTTACTGGTGCCTTGGGAAGATTTAACGTATCCTCTTCTTCAGCGACCACAGTTGCTAACGTAATGAAATAAGGAATGATTGCGATTATATCGATTATATTCATTGCATCCCTGAAGAAATTTAATTTGTTCGGACAAGCAAGGAGCCTATTGGAGGGGGAAAAAAAAAGTTCGATTAGAAAACTGGCTCCGTCGGCTGCGCATCTTCCTCTGATCTTACCTGACACTAAGTTCGAACGTAAACCATATTATGCATATCGTTTCTATGAGGAAGAATGGATCCGTAATGTCAGGCACCTCATCTTCCTCGATTTTTGTGCCGTTTGTTGTTGTATTGAACACCTGGAAAACAATTTCCCACGATCAGAACCGGGAAGCCAGAAGATCGACGCAGACAAACTCACCTTATAATGTTTAAATTCGGGTAAAGTTTCTAGACAGAATATAACAATTGATAAAAGTATAACAAATACGCTAATTATGGCTACGACCCTGGCGGCTTGCGAACTCTCGGGATATTCAAATAATAACCACACCTTCCTTTGATTCTCATTCGAAGGCAAAGGTTTCTCTTCCTCCTTGATAAAACCTTCATCCTCCCTGTGGGTGTTTGGTTGGTTGGTTGGTTGGTTGGTTGGTTGGTTACGACGAGTTTAGGAAAGAATTAAACAAATAGAGAAGATTTTATTAGTATTGGAGGAAGTAGTGTATTTACTGTGTTAGCAATTGGTGCTACGGGCGATATCAGTAGAGAAAAATGCAGCAGAAAGAAGCAGGTTTTGAGAAACTCGATTAAACAATATAGACGAATGCAGCAGAAAGAAGCAGGTGTTGAGAAACTCGATTAAATTTGTTATTTGCTGTGGATCATTTCTGGTAACAAAAATACTGACGTAAATTCAGTTAAGAGAGTATTCCGGTTTAAGACAGCTCACAAAAAATAGGTTCTGACACTTATCGATGGAGCTGTTTTTTTTTCCTTTGATTTGTTTTCCGTCGATCTTGTTTTCCGTGCTGAGCACCAATGCTACCAACGCCAGAGAGGCAGCTCCCACACCTGGACCCTACCTATCGACCCATCAACTCATGAACCGGGGACCAACGGCTTTACTTCCCTCCCTTTGATCAGAGATGTTATGCCTCAAACAGGGCTGGTAGCGAGTCACTTTTTAGTGACTTAAAGGGCGAACACGAAATTATTGCGACACATTCAACAGGGCATAACTTTTTTACCATTGGGTAAAAATCAACCAAATTTTGCACACTTTCTCATTGATGTGTATTGTGTACATGCTGTCAAACTCGAAGTCGTGTTTTTCGATTCAACGGAGGTGAAACAACGCGAGTTGAGAGAACAAATTCTTTCCAAACACCTGGAATTTCCTGACCTGTCGCACCGGCAGTTGGGAAAAATGTTGAACATTCACCATTCAACCGTCTCCAGAGTGTTGAAGCGGTTCCAGGAGCGGTTGACGTTGGACCACGGCAAAGGAGCTGGAAGAAAACCGGGACCGGAGAACAAAAAGACGGAGGGAAAGGTGAAGCGGATGATTAAAGCAAATCCCAACGTCTCAAGCCGTGATTTGGCTAAAAAGATCGGCATGTCGCAGAGCTACGTCCAGAATGCAAAGAAGAGAACTGGACTACATACATACAAGGTACAGAACTTCCCAAACCGCGATGGGCGGCAACAATCGACGGCTAAAACTCGGGCACGGAAGCTCTACGAGAAGATGCTGACAAAATATGGCTGCTGTGTGATGGACGACGAAACGTATATAAAAGCCGATTTTAAGCAAATTCCGGGGTTGGAGTTTTTCACCGGCAAGAGCAAGTTCGATGTGGACGACAAATTTAAGAAGAAGAAAATGTCGAAGTTCGCCTCCAAATATCTCATTTGGCAGGCCATCTGCTCTTGCGGACTGAGGAGTGAGCCTTTCGTGACAAAGGGCACAGTAAATGGCGAGATCTACAAATCTGAGTGCCTCGAGGAGCGCCTTTTGCCGTTCTTGCAGCAGCACGACGAAGCTCCGCTATTTTGGCCAGATTTGGCATCATGCCACTATTCTAAAAGTGTCCTGGAGTGGTATGAGGCCAATTCTGTCCATTTTGTTCCAAAGGACATGAATCCGCCAAACTGTCCGGAGCTGCGCCCGGTGGAGCAGTACTGGGCAATGATGAAGCGGGAACTTCGGAAGAGCAAGAAGACAGTCAAAGACGAGAAGGACATGTTAAGAAAATGGAAAAAAAAAAAAACTGAGAAACTGGTACCGGATGACACTGTAAAGACTTTGACGGAGGGCATCAAGCGAAAATGCGTTCAATTTTACACTCAAGGCTCCATCGATTAAGTTTTCTTTTGATTTTTGAAGTAAATATATGTATAAATAAACTACCCTAAAATTTTGGTTTGATTCTAAACATTATAAGAAAATTGGCATGATATTTTCGGTGTCGCAATAATTTCGTGTTCGCCCTTTAGTCACTTTTTTCAAGACAGTCACTAAAAAGTCTCTTTTTTTAAGGCCAAGTCACTAAAGCCACTATTTCTTGTAATCAGTCACTATTTTCAACTTTTTTAGCGTGAATTTATTTCTAGATTGATCATTCTTTGCTTTAGGCGGTTAATCGTCTTTCTCTATCTACAGGGTGTCTATTCATTTTTCTAAATAAAATTATCTGACTTTTCCAGGTTTTTCCAGTATTTTAACGGATTAATTCCAGGATTATAATAAAGCTAAATTTTTAAATGCGTTAAAAATATTCTTTTTTTGTAGCTCAAAACAACAGCAATTTACCCAAACGATTTTAAGACATGTCAATCAATTTTAAAGAAACAGCTTCCATTGAATGTTGAAGTTTAACACTTACTTAATTTCTCACTTAATAAAGTTGTAAAAAACTTACCCAATTTGAGTAATTCCTAGATCAAAAATTATTCAATATCTTAAAGTTACGTATTCCATGTACAAGTTCAAGATATTGAAATTTTTAAAGTGCCATAATCAAGGAAAAAAATAAATGGTTTATTTCAAGTTCGTAGAAACTTTGGCAAAGTAATGAGTAATGAAAATAAATGATGTGAATTTCAGTGAAGCTCCATAAACAACTGCGGGGACATAAGGGAAGTTAATACGCTGAAAATAGTGGGGAACTTACTAGGGGGAGAGGTAGCTCATCGATTCTTCCGGTTCGCCTCCTAGCATCGTGCTATAAGGTACCAGGCGATAACCAGGGTAGTTGATCGATAGCTCGATGACGTCATTTCGTTGGCGTCTGCAATGGGAAATTCTCATAGCAGGCGTTGACGATGGGACGTTGTCGAGTTGTTGAATAGCAACTATCGTGGTAACTCACCGATTACCTGTCGATCTGCCAAATTTGGAATGACGTCTGCATTGAATTGTCTCATATAATAATATTCCGCCCACTATATCACAAGAAATTGCGAGTAGCTGAGTGGAATGGAGATAAGTTAAGCATTGGGTACAGGACCAAGTCTCCCCTGGGTGGTGCCAAAAGATGAGCGCAATAGAATCATCAAGTTGCCATAAGGCACGGAATGAGACTATTGCATGGCTGGGTAGTCAAAGTCTTCCATTCGTTAGTCATTTCAGGTGGATTAGAACAGGTTTAGGTGGGCGTTGGTCAGATTTGGATTTTTCAGATGTAAACCTGGATAGGACCCTGTCATTGAACGTCGCGTGAAAGTGGAACTTAATGAAGGCCTAAGTACTTTTTCGTAGTTTTTAGTTTTCGGATTTGAAAGATCGTCGGTTACAGTGGCCTGCTTACTGAGCAGAAAAACGCGGTCCCAGGTCCTTACATATCAAAGAGATTTATGGTAAAATCGCTTGTGTATCGTGTATTTTGCGAAACTCGTTGTTGTCGTTGGTTCCGGGTTTGAATGGATACACAAATTTGAGCAACGGTATTATGTGATATGAGGGGCTCGGTGGCCTTAGAGCAACTGTTTTTGCTTACTGAGCAGAACATCATGAGTCTAATCTCAGGCCCATCCACATTCAAGATTCGTCAATCGTTTTATTTGTTAATATGACTACATGGTAATAACAGCAACTCGGTGATTAAAAGTGGCAAACATTTTTGCTTACTGAGCAGAAGACTGTGGGTTTAGTCCCAAGCTCCTTCGCGTTATATGATCGTTAGGACATCAATTCAGCTTATCGTTTACCAAAACGAACCCTGCTGCAAACCCAACCCTCTTATCGAACATCCCAGTGATTCCTCGTGGAAGTGCAGAGGTGTTCTCGGCTTCTATCAAGGCGAGTGTCATGTCAACACAATCCTGCCCATTCTTTTCTTGACCTGTGTTCGGGCGCGGCCGGCGCTGGTATTGCCTAATTTAAGATCACCAGTTTTTACACATTGAGGATGATTGCTAGTCCCAAGCATCGTCCATTGGTTCTCTGTGTAATTACAGCTGATCTGGCAGTAACAGAGTAGCAACCGTGGGCGGTCAATCAAGCTCAAGCTCAAGCTCAAGCTGAAAATAGTGGGGAACTTACAAAGCGTTTCTTTTAGCATCCGAAAATTTTCGGGAACTTTTATGAAGTTCCTAGAATTTCAGAGAACTTCACAGGTGTCAAGCGAACTTGAAAAATACGGAAAACATGAGGGGTATTGTGCAATTTTTTTTTAATAATGTCTAAGTACCTCAGAAAAGCTAGATCTAGAGATTTTTTTTGGGGAATTTCAGACCTTAAGAACAGTCTTCGTAGCTTTAGTCCAGACTTTTGGAGCAGTTTAAATATCTATAATCGTAAATTTAGAAAAATTCAGGATAGTTCCATGATGTGCTGAAAAGAAATCGAGAAGCCTTAAGATGTTCCGGGAATTTTAGGGAAGTACAGAGTCTTTCAAAAAATTTATGAAAACTTCAGAAATATTTCAGAAACGTCACAGAAGTCCAGAGAATTTTAGGGAAATTTAAAGGTTTTTACGAGAATTCCATTTATTTCCGAGCAGCAGAACCGAGATCTTCAATAAAATTGAAAGTTTTAGAGAAGCTTCGAGAACATCAAGACAGATTATAGAATCAAAGGGCAGTTCAAACAATTTCAAGGAAATTGTAGAAAACTTAAAGAAGTTGCGAGAAACTCAGGGAATTCAGAAGTGCCAGGGAATTATGAATATATATCAAACAAATTGCCGGATTATTAAACAAATTAAGAGAACTTCAGGTAACCACTGATAAGTTCAGCGAAAATTAGGGACTTTTTATAATGGTTATAATACTTAAGGGAAATTGTCGAAACTTCAAGGCAAATAATTGAATTTCAGTAAAGTTGCGGGTTCTTAAAAAATACTGAAATTCAGGGCAGTCTAGAGAACTTTAAGCAAATTCAATAATCGTTTAGGCAGTTTAAATACCACCAGGAAAGTGTACACACACTCATTTTTTATCGCTGGAAACCAGCAATATTTTGCTGGATTTTTCCGAGCTGTAAGTTCAGCAATCTATCCAGCAAAATATCATTGCTGGACGACCAGCAATTTAGGCCAATGTCAAATTGACAGTACTTTTCTGATTATCCAGCAAAACGGAACATCAATCATTTTGCTGGAAGAGCAGCAAA